CCAGTAGGGGGCATACTGCTTCCTCTCTGAGAACCACTGAGCTGGACTCCTCCTGGTCATTCCAGCTCGTTAATACCCTTTCCATCCAAAAAGAAGGGATTTTCACAGCTGGAGCTTAGGTTTTCGGTGTTAGGATTGAGTGCTAGAACCTTCATTTAGGCAGGTGATAAATGCTCCTGGCTCTTTCCCCAGAGCCAGGCTACTGGCACCTCAAATTTCTGGGTGTTCCTAATTTGGAAAGTAATCCTTTAGGATAGACTCTGGCTGTCCCCGCCCTCCACAATAAACATGCTGTTTGAATGCCTTCCCCTCCAACAGCCTGATCCTTTTGCTTGGTGTGGGGGACCGCAGAAGCAAAGGCCCCTTCCACCTGTTTCATTTCTCCTTAATGAAGGTTCTGGCCCTGGCCCCTTAGCGTTGTCTTCAGGTAGGAGCTTACCCAAAGCAGTTAATGAGGCAGCCTGGAGAAAACCAGAGTTCAGTCTAGAAAGGAAGGGGTATTTATTGATTAACAGTAGTTGTCTTTTTTTTAAAAGTTTTTATTTTTGGCAATAAAGAGCACAACATAATCTCCTTCATGCGTCATCGTGCCACTAGCTGAGCCAGCCAGCTTTACCACCAGACCCAGTCCTGTGGACCCCAGTTCCCGCTGCAGACTAGCTTACTCTGGGTGGTCATTCCCTGGGTCACATCAGAGCTGAGCTGGCTGTGCCACCTCCCTGTCTCTAGGGCTCCTTTGGGAGGGGTCCTCTTGCTTTAGCATTCTCCTGCCACAAACGTAATAGTGGTTATTTACAAGAAGGTCTGTTCCCACAAATCCGAACCCTAAAGTATTAAAAAACAATAAACAAAAACCACGCAACCAAAGGTTTGATGTGAATAGAAAGATAGCCCTTCTGCAACGGTAGTCAATAAATACCAGCACTAGAAAATCAATTGCTTTAATTGCATTTCAGCAGGGAGCCTCAGCACCATGTGGGGAAGAGAAATGGGGAGGTGGTGGTTTGAGTGCTCTGGCATAGGGTGGCCAAACCCATGGCAGAGGGTCTCCCTCTCCTGGGGCACTGTACCCCAGTCAATGAGAGGGCAGCAGGGGTGCTCCCCACAGCAGTCCTGCCGCAGCCGCCTGGCCTGGCCTGGGGGCAGAAACGGGCCCCAGCCATCCTCCACCTGGCTGAGGTAATAAGCACCCCTACCCTGAGGACCACTTCTCATCCTGCTAAGCAGGAAGGAGSCTGTGCAGAAATTACATTTTAAAACCAGATTTTTCACCTGAGGCATCAACCAGATGTCACCTCTGCTTAAAACTCCAAGTGCAAGGCTGCTAAGTGGCATTCTGGAAGTTCGGATCCTTCCTGTGCCACTACAGGCCCAAAGGAACAGAGAAGCCACCTGCTGTCTTGGCCACTAGGCTGCTTGGGAAAAGTCAGCAAGCAATGCCAGCCTTGAGTTCTGATTGTCCCCCTCCTCTGGCCCTGGCAATTCAAGCAGGTCCTGGCAGCAGGAGGGCTGTACCACAAAGGACAGGCAAACAGCTGCCCTCATAATCTTTATAACAGCCTTGACCATGGCCTGGTCATGGGATTAAAAATGTATGTGTTGGCGGGAAGGGACAGGGGGGAAAAATCTTAATATAGAATATGTCATAAGCCATAAATATTAAAATCATCAACAGGATATAGTCCATGGTGGCTCCGGCCCCTCACATGCTCAGGCGGTGTGGCCAGCGCTTTGCCTTGCTCCAGCCTCACCCTCGGGGGCAGGGAGGGAACAGCTTGCTCCCTTTCTCCAGGTCTTGGCCAACAGCCTCTTGAGGCCATCCACAGTAGGCTGTAGTCTGTCCTGCAACAGGCAGCCCCCAACGGTCATTGGTGCCTGCCAGCCCTGCTGTCACTGGGAAGGGGTCTTTGCCTCACTGCTGTCCCCCTGGCTGGGCTTTGGCTTTAGCAGGATGAATCTGTCGAGAAGGTCCGTTTCTGAGCTGGCCTGGGCTGCCCCGTACCCCTCACCTGTGGGTATAGAAACTGGCTCAGAACTCAGATCCAGGTCACAAGATGTGCCCTCCATGGGGGTGGGGCACGGAAGCAACTCACCGGCATAGCTGGAGGCTTCGGCTATGTTCTGGGAACCCGTGATGTGGTGCCAGTAGGCACTGCGGGGCAGCATGGTAGTGGGTGTGCAGGGATACGAGTAGTGTTCAGTGCCCTTGTTCAGCAGCTGAGGGGCAGAGGGGTTCCTTCCRTCAGCTCTGCAGGCAGTAGCTTGCTCTATCCCTGAGTAGCCAGCCCAAGACCCTGCCTGTTGACTGTGCACACCCGGATAGAGACTTGGCTGGCAGACCCCAGGCACTCAGGCCTGCCCACCCCTGCCGCCAGCCTCCCCTGCCCCCAGCCTCCCCTGCACCCGGGGCTGATACCCACTGCCTCACCCTCACATTCTTCTCCATCTCCAGCAGGACCCGCTTGTGCTGTTCGGCGATGGCCAGGGTGGCACTGTGGACCCGCTGGTATATCTGCTCCCCCTCCTGTGTCTGAAAGGTGTAGAGCCCTTCCCCAGCGTCACACATCCTGAGGACACAGGTGGCAAGGTGGTGGAGACCCTGTGCTTTCTCAGGCTCTCCTGCACACCAGCAGTGGCCGCACCGGGCCCTCTGGGAAGCAGGGGGCTCTGCTCCCAGAGCCTGGCCACATAGCACACATGTGCCATTTTCTGTGTGCCAGCTGGAGGTCTAAATGCTTCACAGAATTAACCCATTCTGTTTCCCCACCACCACCCTCTGGTCTTCCCTCTTAATAGTTCCTCATTTTGTGTTTCCTTAAATGGTTTTTACAGATGAGGAAACTGAAGCATATAGAAGCTGAATAACAACCAAGATGATGCAGAGGATCATACAGAATTTTGGGGGTTCCAGTCTGGGGCTACTCCATCCTCACTATAATTTTATGAAGTTAGGTACTTTATTATCCCAGGAGACAGATGAGGAAGCCGGGACCCAAGTGCACAATCACAAGTAAGTGCCGGTGCCAGCACTGGATCTGAGCCCAAGCAGTTAGACCTCTGGTACAGAGCCTCGCCCGCCCTACCTGCCCTGGGTGAGTTGCTTCTCTGAGCCTCAACTTCTTCATCTGCATAATGGGAAACCACACTCCCCTTTGGTTTGTTATGCTGATAAGTAAACAAGGTCCTAGCACAGTGCCTGATGCAGAAGAGGTCTATCATGACGATGGTGGTGCAGGATGGGGAGGCAAGAGGGTCCTACCGGCCAGCCTCGAAGGTAAAGCGTGTGGCATCCCGGCCATAGCGGCGCAACGAGCAGAGGGGCCACGAGACGAGCTTCACACGGGGGTTGTGTGTGTCCCAGAGGTAGATGTTTTCGTGGGTGATCTGCAGCTTGCACTCGCCGTACACATCGAGGTTGGGGCAGGGCAACAGGAAGACGTTGAAGCGATCTGCAGCAGGAGAGGCAAGTGGCCTGGAGCTGCCACGGGAGGCGCCTCCTGCCCCGCCCCCACCCCCCAGGTCCAGGGCTCACCTGTCTGCTCGCACTGCACCCCTGGGGCCAGGAGGTCAGGCTCTCCCAGACTGATGTCATTGAGCCGTGACCCCAGACACTCCACAGACAGTGTCTTGTACCATTCTTCTGCCTCCAGCTCTAGAGAAAATGGCATGCTGCCAGCTCAGGGTCCCCAGCAGCCCACCCCA